CCTCCTCCTCCTCCTCCTCCTCCTCCTCCTCCTCCTCCTCCTCCTCCTCCTCCTCCTCCTCCCATCATCCTTTCCCTCTCCATCCTCCGCTGCTTCCTCGTGCTCCGTCCTCGTCATCCCGCTTCTCTCCCCCACTGCCCCTCTTGGACCCACGCTTCAGAGCGTGCTGTGGAGCGATAGTGTCGGGCGCCTCCCGTCAGTCTCTCCTGAAGGGGCCCAAGGACACACAAATAAATACACACAAATAAAAATATTCCCCAAATGTTGGATATTTTTAGGGTTTTTGTCTTCCCCGCCACTTCCCATATTTCCCCAAATTTCCCTGGGGATCGACGATTAATTGTGTCTGTGTGTTTTTTCCACTCCTGATCTCCTCTTTGCCGCGATGACGGCGGGGGAGCCCGCAGCAATGACACGGACCCCCCAGCGGTCCAGTACCACGTCTGAGGCACCGGTGAGATAATTCGCAACGTCTGGAGCACCAGTGAGGTAAGAGCGAGTGGAGTGCCATGGAGTGGCGCCTCAGAGCTCCAAGCGTCCTCGAGTTGAGGCACGATCCAAAGCTTACCAGGTTATGCTACGCTCCAGACGCCTCCTCGGTTCGCTATATGTTTAGAATCGGAGGTTGGGGGGTGAGATCGAAGTGGAACGGAGAGCCCCCCACAGGGAAATCGGTTTCGATTTCGTGTTCGTGCGTGCCGTGCGTGCGGGCGAGGCGAAGCTGCGTGGGCGGGCGAGAGGAAAGTCTCCTGTGGCTGAGCCGCGGCCGAACCAAGTGATTCTCCCTCCGGCAAGCGGTGGCCCGCGGTGGCCCGCCGGTGTCCCGCTTGCGGCTGGGCCCCGGCCGGACCAAATGATTCTCCCTCCGGCAAGCGGTGGCCCGCGGTGTCCCGCCGGTGTCCCGCTTGCGGCTGGGCCCCGGCCGGACCAAATGATTCTCCCTCTGGCAAGCGGTGGCCCGCGGTGTCCCGCGGTGTCCCGCCAGTGTCCCGCCGGTGTCCCGCCGGTGTCCCGGTGTCCCGCTGGTGCGAAAACGACAGTGAGACCGATGACGAAATCGATTGTGAGATCGATAGTGAGATCGATATTGAGACCGAAAGTGAGATCGATCGTGAGATCGATAGTGAGATCGATAGTGAGACGAATAGTGATCGGAGGTTGGGGGGTGAGATCGAAGTGGAACGGAGAGCCCCCCACAGGGAAATCGGTTTCGGCTTCGTGTTCGTGCGTGCCGTGCGTGCGGGCGAGGCGAAGCTGCGTGCGCGGGCGGCAGGAAAGTCTCCTGTGGCCGAGCCGCGGCCGAACCGAATGATTCCCCCCCCCCGGCAAACGGGGCCGCGCGGAGTCACCCGGCGGTGTCCCGGCGGGGTCCCGGTAAGTCTCCTGTGGCTGAGGCGCGGCCAGACCAAATGTTCCCCGACCGGCAAGCGGGGCCGCGCGGTGTCCCGCCGGTGTCCCGCTGGTGTCCCGGTGTCCTGCTGGTGCGAAAACGATAGTGAGACCGATGAGATCGATTGTGAGATCGATAGTGAAATCGGTAGTGAGATCGATAGTGGAATCGGTCGAGTGAGATCGATGGTGAGATCGATCGTGGGATCGATAGCGAGAGCGATAGTGGGATCTATGGTGAGATCGATTGAGTAAGATCGATAGTGAGATCAATCGAGTGAGATGGATAGAGAGATCGATAGTGAGATCGATAGTGAGATTCATGGAGTGATATCAATAGTGAGATCGATAGTGAGATCGATGGAGTGATATCGATTGTGTGATCGATAGACGGCCCCCCAAGCACTTGCAAAATGAATGCAATAATTTATTATTTCATTAGTTCCCGAGAGGGGGGGGGACTCTTACCAAGGCGCCCAAGAGCGAAGGGTGACGTAAACAAATCGACACCAAGGCTCCCAAGAGCGAGCGGCAACGCAACAATCTCCACAAGCATCGTCAGAACAACAATCACCACTGTTGCCCATTGCTGGCCCCCTCCCCCCCCTCAACCTCCTTATCACCCGCAGGGTGGTCGTATAGGTATATTAGGTCCCTGTTTTGCAGTCTTGAGCTCGCGAGGCCCTTGAGAAGATCTCTCCAGGCGTCTAGGTGTATTGAGGGCCTCGTTGTTGATGATGATGATGGTGATGATGCTGCTGCTGATGATGATGACGATGATGATGATGACGACGATGACGACGATGACGATGACGATGCTGATGACGATGACGGTGACGATGATAATGATGTTGATGATGATGCTTATGATGATGATGCTGCCGCTGCTGCTGCTGCTGATGATGATGCTGATGATGATGATGATGATGATGATGATGATGATGATGATGATGGTGGTGAGGACGATGAGGATGAGGATGAGGATGATCATGCTGATACTGATGCGGATGCTGCTACTGATGATGATGCTGATGATGCTGAGAAGAAACATAACAAGTAATATCAAGAAATGATGAGAACAAGAAACATAATAATAATAATGAGGAGGGAAATGAGGAGGAGGAGGAGGAGGAGGAGGAGGAGGAGGGAGGGGCGAGCAAGAAAAGGGGAAAGAGCTGGGCCCAGAGGAAACCCAAGATGCACCAACGCTGGTGCAGGACACCCTCCCGCCCCAAGTCTCCTCCCCACAAGTCCGTACAATAATTTCTTTCCGGAAGCGCCCCCCCTTGAACGACGAGCGCCTGGAAGGCATGCCTCTCAAGCGCGACCGCGTAGGCAAAGGATCTACACTCCATCCTTGCAGCTCAGAGCAACGCAAAACGGTACGATGACGAAAGGGATGTACTGCGGTAGCCCTGTTTTGAACAAGAACTACCCTCCATCCGTGCAAGTGTTGCACAATTTCAAAGTTCTGGCCATCAGATTTGCGGAAGTCCCAAGCGAGAGCCCATTTTGATTATCCCAGTGCGACCCTACCTAGGAGTTGGAACCCCTAGGAAAGCAGCATTAGTAGTAACAGTAACGCTAAGCTAAAGTTAAGCTAAAGCTAAGCTATAGCTAAGCTAAAGCTAACACAGCTAAGCTAAAGCTAAGCTATAGCTAAGCTAGAGCTAAGCTAAAGCTAAGCTAAAGCTAAGCTAAAACTAAGCTAAAGCTAAGCTAAAGCTAAGCTAAAGCTGAGCAACAGCTAAGCTAAAGCTAAGCTAAAGCTAAGCTGAAGCTAAGCGAAAGCTAAGCTACAGCTAAGTTAAAGCTAAGCTAAAGCTAAGCTAAAGCTAAGCTAAAGCTAAGCTAAAGCTAAGCTAAAGCTAAGCTAAAGCTAAGCTACAGCTAAGCTCAAGCTAAGCTAAAACTAAACTAAACGCTAAGCGAAAAGCTAAGCGAAACGCTAAGCTAAAGCTAAGCTAAAGCTAAGCTAAAGCTAAGCTAAAGCTAAAGCTAAAGCTAAAGCTCCCAGGGGACGTGGGGGAACCGCGGGGCGGGGACTGGGGGAACCGCCCGGGGCGCTTTGCACTGCCCGGCCCCTTTAAGCTAAGAGAGTAAGAACCCTTCTAGGCAGAGCCTAGGTAGGGAAAAAGAAAGTCCCCTCCATCCGTGTAGCTGATGCACAATTGGGAATTCCAGGTCGCAGAAATCCCACCAGCCCTCTAGGGCCTAAGTGGTTCGACGACGGTAGAGGGAAACAATTAGTGAACACCCCCCCTGCCCCCCAAACTCAAGGTTGGCACGCGCGGGGGAGACTGCGGTCGAGGTGCAATTCATCAGACCCACCGCCGACTTTGAACATTGGGGGGAGGGGGAGGCGTTCACAGATGAATGTGGCACGAGTGTTCGCTATTTTTGTCCGAGGCCTGTCTGTCTTCTCTCCCTCTCCTTCCCCGTCTCGGGGGAGGGGTTGATCCCTTCCCCTACTCCCCTCCCTTGGGCCTGGGAGAGCGGGGGCCCCAGGTAGTTAGTGTCAACCTGGGCCCAAGACGGCTCCAAGAGGGCCCCCCCGGCAGCCCACGACGGCCGTCAAGATGGCTCAAGACGGCCGAATATGGTTAAAAAGATAATCTCCCACATACCTCCAAGAGGCCCAAATCCAGCCCCAAGACAGTTCAAAGTGTCCCTCGAGCCTTCCTAGGCACCCTCCAAGAAGCCAACATCCTTCGAACACCTAAGGACAATCAATGCGATTTGCCTTCTCGCTGTTTCACTTCCTCTGGGCTGTTGAAGCCTCAAGATGTGCCCAAGATGGCCCAAGAGACCCCAAGAGGAGCTCAAGAGCGCGTCAAGACGGTCCCAAGAGCGCCCAAGAGACGCCCAACAGCGGCCCCACAGGGCCCCAAGACGCCATTGTTGAGCCTCCGAGGGGGTGACCTGCATTGCCCACCCCCACCCCTCCTGCCGCCTCCCACCCAGACCCCCTCCTTTCGAGCCATGAGGGCCTAGTGAGCCTCACCAAAACAAGCCCCAAGAGGGCCCCAAGAGTGCCCCAAGAGGCCCCACGGGGACCCCAAGAGAACCCCTGAGATGCCCTTGGTCGTCCTTCAAGAACCTCTCGCAATGATGCCGGAGAAAAAAAACAATCAAAATCTTTTCAGGGCTGTAGG